AAACAAATCTTATTTCTTGGACATTTGGTATCAGATAAAGGAATTGAACCAAATCCAGTTCTAGTTCAAAAGATTAGACTATGCAAAACTTCTAACTCTCGAAAGGAAGTTCACTCTTTTCTTGGTCTTGCCTCATATTATTGTCATTTTATTTGTAATTTTTCACATATTGCAAGGCCTCTTTTTAATTTAACTAAATTAGATATTGACTTCTGCTGGACAGAGGAATGTCAAAATGCTTTTGAATTTCTTCGAAACTGTCTTACCTCTAACCCTATTGTTATATACTCGGATTTTACAAAACCTTTTATTCTTCACACTGATGCTTCTGATTTTGCTATTGGAGCTGTTTTAGCTTAAAAGGATTCTGAAAATAAGAAACATGTTATTGCCTATGCTAGTCGTGTTTTAATTTCTGCTGAACAAAATTATACTGTCATTGAAAAGGAATGTCTTGCCATTATTTGGGCTACCAAATATTTTCATCATTTTCTACAAAGATAACGCTTCTGTATTGTAACTGACCATGAAGCTATTCCTTGGTTAAAACATTATAAATCTCCCAAAGGACATCTTGCAAGGTGGATTATTCAACTCTCTGAGTATGAACCTTATGAAATTATAAAGAGAAAAGGAAGAGATCATACAAATGCTGATGCACTTTCCAGACTCAAATCTATTTATTCTATTAATCAATAACTTCCAAATACTCTATTTTATAAAAACTCTCTAAATCAACACCCAAACAAAATGGATCTGGAACTGTATTAAAATCTTTTATCTTATCTTTCTTCTCATAAATTCCTACCTAATTTTACAATACAACAAAAGCAAACACTATCACGACAAGCAGCAAATTATTTAGCAAACAATAACATTTTAAATAAAAAGAATAAAAAGCATCCTGACAATTTTTACTGAGTTATAACTCTTCTGGAAAGAGATTATCTTTTATTTAATTTACATTCTTCACCTCTTGGAGGACATTTTGGAACAAAAAGAACTATTGAACGA